GTCAATCCTAAAGGAAATCAGTCCTGACTATTCATTGGAAAGACTGATGATGAAGCTAGAGATCCAATACTTTGACCACCTGATGCAAAGAGCCTACTCATTAGAAAAGACCCTGATGCTGGGAAAGATTGAAGGCAGGAGGAGAAGCGGATGACAGAGGATGAGATGGTTGGATGACATTACCGACTCAATGGACGTGAGTCTGTGTAAGCTCTGGAATTTGGTGATGGACAAGGAAGCCTGGCATGCTGCAGTCCATGCGGTCATAGTCAGACACGACTGAGTGACTGAACCGAACTGAACAAAAGATGTTTGAAGAAAGCACTACTTGAGTCATTCATGCGTAACTGGATATTGGGAGTATTTAACTATTAAAGACGATCTATTTATTTCATTTACAGTCATCCAAACATTCATTATTGCAGAAAGGAAATAAAGGAAATCATAATACTCAATAAGGTGTCCGCTTTATGTTTCTTTAAGCAGGTTATTTTATAAGTCCCCTTTTCTTCTCATTCTATATCAACTGAATGGTTTGCCACATCTACTCTTATGCCTGCAATCAATATTTTGATGATTCACAATTTTTCTTCAGACCAGAGGATTCTTGTGATTCCAGAATTATTTGAGTCATCTAGATATACACACTTAGAAGAGCTGTAAATAATTCAATTTCAGTATGTGTAAAATTTGGGTATCTCCACCTAAAATTACTCCCATCTCTGTCTTTAGAGGTCTTTACATTGAGCTAGATGCCCACGGCAAATTCTTTAAATCTTCTTTGATTTCTCCAGTACCCTCAATCTGCATATCCAATTAAACCCATATCCTATCACTTCTCCCTTTATCACTTCTTATTCTAAAGTTTCCTTTTCCCTCAGCAACTATTTCATTCAGATTTAAACAATTCTCATTGCCTGAAGCTTTGCCTTGAGTCTCATCCAATTCATTTTCCTCACTGAAGCAGTAATGTCCTTCTCAATACATATTAGCTCATGTCACTGTCTTAATTAAAACCCTCTAGTGATGTCACCTTTGGATAAATTCTAAAAGCCTCACTAGAGATGTGAAGGCCATGTTGAAATGGCTCAACCTTCTCTTGCAGATTCCTTTTCTATTAGTCTTTATTAACAAATCCTAGTTGTACTTCTGTTATTATAAGTATTCTAGTTGTGCTTATTTGTAAAGTTTAGTTATAATGAACTTAATTCAGTTCTGGAACATGCCACTCATGCTTTCACCTCTGAGCCACTGCATATGGTATTCTCTCCATTTGAAAAGTTCCCACCAGTGTTTAGCTGGTAAATCCCTTTTCATCTTTAAAGGTTGCTTTTCACTGTCAGCAGGCATTTTGGATACTTTCCTCTGCCCTGACTGATTCAAGTGCTCTTTACTGATCATCCTCTATCACTGTACTTTCCTTATCATATACCTCAACAATCATGTTGTCACAATTTATCCACTGATACTTTTACTAGAGTATTAACATATTAAGGGCAATAGACTAGTTCATCTTTTTAACTATGAATCACCATCGCTTAGCACAATAGATGAAACATAATAGGTGCAAAATAACTGTTGAATGACTTTTTATTAATATATTTGGAGTAGATTTCATGTTTTTTTTTTTCTGAGCAAGATGATTTTATCCATAGCTTTTGATGCAAAAATGGTACTCCGTTAGAAAATGTTCAAAGCATTTAGGAAGTTTCAGAGATAGCTTTCAGAATGGCTAGGATTGAATGGGCAACTCTGATAGCATACCTTCCATCAGGGTTGACACTAAAAGTCAAGATATTCAACTTTCTAACAAAATGTCACACTATCGCTTTACTACCTAAATGCTTGGATTCTCTAACATATGGATTTCTTTTAATAAACAACATGGAACACTGCTTATTTGTAAAGTTTAGTTATAATGAACTTAATTCAGTTCTGGAACATGCCACTCATGCTTTCACCTCTGAGCCACTGCATATGGTATTCTCTCCATTTGAAAAGTCCCCACCAGTGTTTAGCTGGTTAATCCCTTTTCATCTTTAAAGGTTGCTTTTCACTGTCAGCAGGCATTTTGGATACTTTCCTCTGCCCTGACTGATTCAAGTGCTCTTTCCTGATCATCCTCTATCACTGTACTTTCCTTATCATATACCTCAACAATCATGTTGTCACAATTTATCCACTGATACTTTTACTAGAGTATTAACATATTAAGGGCAATAGACTAGTTCATCTTTTTAACTATGAATCACCATCGCTTAGCACAATAGATGAAACATAATAGGTGCAAAATAACTGTTGAATGACTTTTTATTAATATATTTGGAGTAGATTTCATGTTTTTTTTTTTCTGAGCAAGATGATTTTATCCATAGCTTTTGATGCAAAAATGGTACTCCGTTAGAAAATGTTCAAAGCATTTAGGAAGTTTCAGAGATAGCTTTCAGAATGGCTAGGATTGAATGGGCAACTCTGATAGCATACCTTCCATCAGGGTTGACACTAAAAGTCAAGATATTCAACTTTCTAACAAAATGTCACACTATCGCTTTACTACCTAAATGCTTGGATTCTCTAACATATGGATTTCTTTTAATAAACAACATGGAACACTTTCACTTCAAGTAGTCTGTGGGAGTATTACTTCTGCATATTTGTCAAACAGCTGCTATCAAAAGCATGGTTAATAGATCAACATTTCCAAACCTTCATTGTTTCATATGGAGCCTTTAAACTTTATTCCTGTGCCATGTTAAGGCTTCAGGAAGTTATCTGGACACATTGCATTATTCTAAATCCCCATATATATTCCATTTATGATTATAAACCTAAATTTATTTCATTACTTTTAATAAAAGAATCATACACATATAAAAATCTGAAGAATATTACTTCTTATAAACTCACTATAAATGTAAAAATCATTCAATAATGAAGTATGTGGCAAGTTTCTTAAATATTAAAAGATTAGAAAAGTTTGTCCATCTTCACAATTCCCCTACATCCTTTATATCCCAAAGTAAAAACCAATTTTACAACTTAAAAAAAAAAATTGTACATTGCTTTCCATGAAACTCAGTGTTAAGTTTCTATATTTAACTCATTCCTAAGAAATAACAACTCAATGAGAAGGAACAAGAAATGTAGACATTATTTACTGAGTATCTGATACAAAGTTAAGTATTTCTTCATTCACTTAACAAATATTCACATGTCTGTTTTATTTAAAATTCTAAACATTGTTCAAAATGCATAGAATAGGGGAGATATATATATATATATGCATGTATATACTCATGGACCATAGAGAAGGTTGGGCACCAAATAATTGATGCTTTCTAAGTGTGGTGCTGGAGAAGACTCTTGAGAGTCCCCTGGACAGCAAGGAGATCCAACCAGTCCATCCTATAAGAAATCAACCCTGAGTATTCATTAGAAGGACTGACGCTAAAGCAGAAGCTCCANCTGAGTATTCATTAGAAGGACTGACGCTAAAGCAGAAGCTCCAATACTTTGGCCACCTGATGCAGAGAGCCAACTCATTGGAAAAGACCCTGATGCTGGGAAAGAATGAAGGCAGGAGGAGAAGGGGACAACAGAGGATGAGATGGTTGCATGGCATTACTGACTCAAAGGACATGAGTTTCTGCAAAACTCTGGGATAGAGTGAAGGTCAGGGAAGTCTGGCATGTTGCAGTCCATGATGTTAAAAAAAATCAGACACGACTTAATGACTGAATAACAGTGGTGGCTGATTCACATTATATGTAAGGCAGAAACTAACATAATGTAAAGTAATTACCCTCCAATTAAAAACTATTTCAAAAACTTTAAAAAAGGATATGATAATTCATTATTTAAGATTAAGAATATGAATTAGGTACAGAGCACTTAGAAAAGCTATTCAAAGTTTTCAGTTCAGTCAGTTCAGTTACTCAATCCTGTCCAACTCTGTGACCCCAGGGACTGTAGCACACCAGGCCTCCCTGTCCATCATCAAGAGCCTATTCAAACTCATGTCCATCATGTAGGTGATGCCATCCAACCATCTCATCCTCTGTTGTTCCCTTCTCCTACCGCCTTCAATCTTTCCCAGCATCAGGGTCTTTTCTAATGAGTTGGTTCTTTGCATTAGGTGGCCAAAGTATTAGAATTTCAGCTTCAGCATTAGTCCTTTCAGGACTGGTTTCCTTTAGGATTGACTGGTTGTATCTCCTTGCAGTCCAACGGACTCTCAAGAGTCTTCTCCAACACCACAGTTCAAAACCCAAGGAAAGTGTAGAGCCATGATGGAATTCCAGCCTCACATCATTTCATCATGGAGTACTGGGAAAATGTATAAGCATAGCATAGAAGCATCAGCCCTCCATCAGTAGTATACTTGACCATCCATCTTTGCTTTGAGGCTTTTCTTTTATGTGTATTAAAAAAAAACTCATTTTCAAAACCTTTTATAATTAAAATGTACCATATAAAAATATGTACACTTGAAGCTTAAGATTAAGTAATCTGAAAATGTTTAGATATTGTCATTTAACTGCTATAAAAGTATTGCTTTCTTTATTATTGAGGGAAAAATGCAGAAAATATACAGTTTACTCATGCAATTTCACTAGTAAAATCTAAAACAGTTATATGATAATAAAGATATGTCTCATTGACTTATGACAATAGAAAAAACAGTTTTAGTCAGTAACTAACAAGCAGTGAAATTGCCACATCCAGAAAAATTTTCTAAAATTAAAAAATAAAATTGACTATAGTGATCATGAAATATTCTCTGTACATATTCAAAAACAGATGCTTTCTCTCCTTTATGCTGTAGAAGTTTCATTTCTTAGAAACGTAAAACAAAATCATCCAAGATAGAAAGTACTGAATATTTTAAAAGATTCAATTATTTTGTACCTCTGCAATGCAGGTGCAATGAAAAATATTCTCAATTGAAAATACTCCAAATTCACAATGGTAAAATAGCATAATGTAAGCAAATTATGTATTCAATTTCAGATGTCATACTATTCTGGAGTTTTAGCTTGGTCTGAATCAAAATCATGAAGACAATTGGAATGAATGTACTTTTCTTACAATTATCCACATGCATCTTACTATAATATTTAAAATATGTAGGTATCTTTGAAAGAACAGTGCCAGAAAAACTAATAGGGCCCATTTAGATATATTTTCAGCTTACATATAATAAGCCTGTGGGATCTAGTCTGAATTAAAATGTAGAATTTCAGTAGATCAGGATAGATTCCTTTATTTATTCAATATCCTTGAACTTGGCCTTTCCTGGTGGCTCAGATGGTAAAGAATCTGCCTGAAATGTAGGAGACCCCTGTTCAATCGAGGAAGATCCTCACCCAGGGAATGGCAACCCACTATCTAGTATTCTTGCCTGGAGAATTCCATGTATGGAGAAGCATAGCAGGCTACAGTCCATGGGTCACAAAGAGTTGGACACAACTGAGTGACTATCACTTTCACATTCTTGAACTGTTTGTATGTAAATTTTTCTTGACTAGAGCAGGGGTCAGGAAACTTTTTCCGTCATCTCCAGAAAGTAACTATTGTAGGCCAAACCATCTGTGTCGCAGTTGCTCAACTTTGTTCCAAGGTAGCCATAGACCTTATGCAACGACTGGGTTTGGCTGCATCTCCATCACACCGTAATAAAACAGCACAGAGGCTGAATTGAGCCTAGGGCCATAGTTTGCCAACCCCTAGTTTAGAGCTCTGATGTTCCCTAAACAGTTGTTTGATACTTGGGGTCAATCCAATTGCTATATTTACTCAGGCAGATTCAGTCTTCTTAAAGAAAATTGCAATATTGTTAGAACATATAACTTAGGGAGTTACCAAAATACTAACTGTCAGATATAGTGGTGACTTCCTCATTATGATACAACCAGCTGACGACAGGTGCGGGTGAGCTGCTGACTCGGCAGACCACTTCTGCATTCTCCCCTTGTTTGAACTCTTGAGGAGATACCACTTCTCGGAAAGTGAGTTTTTCTGCATAAGAAAGTAAAACAAACCAAAGAAGTATTATTGCTCATTCCCCTCAATAACATACTTCAGAACCCTTGTTTATGGGTGCTGTAATAAAATAATTACATAAATCTAGATCGTTTAAAACTTTACCATACCATCTAATTCTCCTACCTGATAAATCCCCGCCTCACTCAGAATAAAATCCAAAGTCTTTACAGTGCTACAGGAGGTCCTATATGAACTGGAGTCTATCTCACAATTTTTGATCCTGATTTTTCTTCTCTCCTCCTAATCTCTACTCCAGGCAGTTCCTTGAACACTCCAGATTTGTTCTCATTCTGGGGCATTTGCACTCTCTTAAATTTCATCACATTTTTGCCCAGTCTCCACATGCAAAAAGAGTCATCACCCTCTAATTCTCAACTATTTAATTTCTTCCCTATAGGATTCTATAGGCATATATATCTAGCATTTATACATTAGTCTTAGCTTATTTTTTGTCTTCTGTTTCTACCTACTAAAATGTTAGCACCAAGCAGTCAGTGACATTTTCTGTTTTAATCACTAATGAGTCTTTAGGAATTAGAATATTGTCTGCCATATATCAGACATCCACAAGTGTATCAAATGAATGCACAGATGTGGATATTTATGCTTAATGAGAAATTTTCACAAAAGCCATTCATTGTTCTTGCTAACAACAACAAAAAATTACCTTTACAAATAAAACACCAGGAATTCTCTTTTGTATCATTTCAAATGACACTTCTTTCCAGATACTAGTCTATGAAATGATGTTTTCAATTTAGTTTTTTGTAATTTATGAAATTAGTACAGCAAATGGGCATATCAAGAAGTAAAACATCCTTCTTTGAGGAGTTTAGAAACTAAGAGGAGGGAAAAAATGTCAAATCAGGACAAATGAAGACAACAACAGATTGTCGTTCCAATGACAATGTTCCAACAGACTGTCGTCATCTTAAGAGGAAGTATTGCTATGACACTCTTTTGACCCTTTTTTCAACACAGCTGTAAGGAAGACATGACTTACGAGCATTCTAAAACTTTTATAATTTTTCACTGGTATAAATGCTAACTACCACAAATTAATTGCAAGGTAATATTTTAGGCACATTGTGCATGAATTAATGTAGTCTTCAAAGCAACTCTACATATGATGTAAGTACTACTATTATACCCATTTTACAAATGGAAATTGAAAACAGAGAGTGTACCCAGTTGCTCAGAACCACAGAAGTAAGTGATGGAACCTGGTTTCAAAACCAGGGAATCAATGATCTTCAGTCTTCCTAAACAGGTTAAGGATTCCTAAAAGTAGGAATGAGGAATTAATCAATTTCAAGTCATAAAATGAAGTGTAAGTGTAGAAAACCTTGTTAATGAAAACACCTGGAGCTAAGAATCTGGTTAGAAATAATTCTTCTTTATATGAGTTTTCAACTTTTTCTCTCTCAAAAGTCTGTCAACTGATCCTTCCCCAATTCTCATTCTAGACTGGTTACTGCTGTCACACAGGTAATTTTCTCTAGTCATGGGCTTTTAAAGTGAAAAACAGCATTCCCAATAAGTTCTGTAACACTAAATATACTGTTATCTATTACCCAACAGATTCTTAATGGCATCAGAAAACTAAAACATTTTCATCTATATTATTTACCCAATAGAATTGGCTTCATCTATATATTTATAACCCACTTTAGCCTATTACCTATCTTATTTTAGAGATGTGTTATGGTAAAATATAAATAAGCTGATATCTGTAAAAGTCTTATTATTACATTGTCCAGCAAAAAGTTAGGAGAAGGCAATAGCACCTCACTCCAGTACTCGTCCCTGGAAAATCCCATGGACAGAGGAGCCTGGTGGGCTGCAGTCCATGGGGTTGCTAAGAGTCAGACACGACTGAGCGACTTCACTTTCACTTCTCACTTTCATGCATTGGAGAAGGAAATGGCAACCCACTCCAGTGTTCTTGCCTGGAGAATCCCAGGGATGGCAGAGCCTGGTGGGCTGCCGTCTATGGGGTCACACGGAGTCGGACACGACTGGAGTGACTTAGCAGCAGGAGCAGCACAAAGTTAGTTCTCAATGAGTACTAGCTTCTATTGTTAAGTGCATTTGAATTTGAATTTTTTATAAGAATGTATAATTTCAATCAATAAAACATAAATACATGACTTACGGTAAATTTCCAAAACGACTGTAGCTTCTTGTGTCTGTCCTTTGGCATCTGTTGCTTGGCAACGATAGATCCCTGCATCTTCTATATTTGCATTGTAGATGGTTAATCTTGATCTAATACCTTCCTTCTGCACTGATACTCTCTGTGTTGAAATTATCTTCTCCCCTTGAGGATTATACCAATCTACACTCTCAGGTTCACCAATTGCTGCAGAGAGCCATAGAAAAGAAATGTTTGAAAATATGTTTCAAGTGTTTGTTTTGATATTGGCATTTACTATTACATAACAAGCTTAACAATTTAGAAAAAAATGTAAACAGAAGACTGAAAATCTGAAAATCTTACAAAATTGAAAGTAAACACAAATGCTAGCACACATGTTCATCCTTATTTATCCAACACTGAGGATTAAATCTAGTCTGAGTAAACAAAATCCATAGGAAATGGGTTTTCCAGTATGGTATTTAAGCTATGATAGAGTAAACTTTGGGGCTTCCCCGACGGCTCAGTGCTAAAAATCCACCTGCAATGCAGAAGTCAAGGCTTCAATCTCTGGGTCAGGAAAATTCCCTGGAGGAGGGCATGGCAACCCACTCCAGGATTCTTGCCTGGAGAATCCCACGGACAGAGAAGCCTGGCAGGCTACAGTCCATAGGGTTGCAAATAGGCGAACACTACTGAAGCGACTTAGCACGTACGTAGTGTAAACTTTACCACAGTGATCTATGGATTATTATTATTATACCTAAGTACTGAAACTGGTTTGGCAAATGAGTCCAAAATGCATTCCACTTGATAGACATGTGTGTGCCTATTTGCGTCCGACTGTTTAAGACCCCATGGACTGCAGCCCACCAGGCTCCTCTGTCTATGGTATTTCCCAGGCAAGAATAATGGAGTGGGTTGCCATTTCCTTCTCCAGGGGCCCTTCCCAACCCAGTAACTACCCCGCATCTCCTGTGTCTCCTGCATTGGCAGGCGGATTGTTTACCCACTGAGCCGTCTCCAGTAGACATAATCTAAATTGAAACACGATTATGCACACACTTTCATCTGCTCAATTCTTTCTGATAAGAGTCAGGAAATAGCACTTTCCCCACCATACAGCAGAGCTCATAAAAATGTAAATCTTCTATAAAATAAACTTTGGCTTTTGTTAACAGAATTTTGAATTAATCTCTCAAGTTGTTAAACTTGTATAGATGAGGCCAATGACTATTTTTCAAATGAATCCCTAATCTTCTCTTTTCCCAGCTGAAATGAGTAGTTTCATCAGTTGATTCTAAAACTGTTAACTATTTAATCATATGATAATTAGAATGTATTGAAATGATACTTATGGTGATAGGCAATTACAGCCAAATCATTACAGGGTAAACATTTATTTAACTTTTCCAATTCAGAATCTAGGTTATTATCCTCTTCGTAAAAGCTGAAGCTTCCTATGTTTACTTTTAGCCACCAAAAGGATGTATTTCACCTAATTGCTTGTGAGATAATTTGTGGAAGCAGCATGCATTATTAACTCAAAAATATTGGGGAAAAATGCATAAAGTTAACTAACATCTTTTGGGACCTTTTTGAATAAAATTGTTCCCTCTCATTCTCTTTTTCCCCAACAAATGGCTTTAGAAACAAATTATCTTCCTTCCTATATCTAAAATTAGACATGATGAAGAAAAAAGTATGAAAGAATTTTAGTTAACTCGTGAATGATCTTAGTTATGTTATATTCAGTTTTTCTAAACAGAACCATAAAACTGTAGTAGTTACAGGGTAACTCATTTGGGTTTGTTTTAATTCCCTCTTCTTCCATCACTAAGTTACAGAGGAATCATTTAAATGTGCATTACTTTAAATTTGAGAAATAAAAAATCCTCATTTTATGCAGTAAATTATATAGGATATCTCTGTGAAATATTTTGGACATTTTCATTCTTAATGATATGGAAAAATTCATTATCGTGGAGAGTTTATTCTGGATTTTCACAGCGCAATCATAATTCTTTCTTTTTAGGGCAAATCCGATAAATAGTAATTTCCAATTAAAATGTCCATGTTATATTGCTGATAATACTGGGCTAATGGGAAAATTAACAAGTAGAACTAAATGTATTTTCCTGAAAAGGTAATATAAAAATCCATACATGTGACACATGTGTGCTTATTTCTGTGCAGATATGAATGAGCTCAGCAGAGTCTTGGGACCTGGGACCCTTTCACTGAAATGCTTGCACCTGAAAAAACATCTCCTGGAACAACAGAATGCAAAGAAACTATAAGGGGCTAAAAATAACTACAAGCATGTGCAGTTGCAGCAAACTGTGAACAACAAGATGCACAAAGGCCAAAATCCAGCTGCTACCTTTGAGGGAGCAAAAGCAGGGTCGTACACAGGACCCCTGCATAGCGCACCACCGAGGCTACCTCTCCCCAGCGACCCAGTGATTCACAGCTACCCTCAAACCTTTTAAAGGACCGGCTCACCCCACCTCAGACAGCAAGCAAGGAAACCTGTCACTCGTTTTCATATGCTAGTGAGTAGCAGAACTCGGGATAAAGCCCTGTCTGAATTTCTCACCTGGCCTCTTAGCAATTTCTATTGATTAAAGAGTCAAAAAACCCAGTTCTGTAACATGACCACCTTCTAGTTCAATCTGAAGACATATTTATTTTATTGAGTTTTAGATGTCTCAATTCAGAAAATTTTAGAATCATATCAACATATCACCACTGTGATAGAAAAATACATACAAGTGTTCTGGTTTGTATAGGTTTGCCACATATTCATTTTTTTTTTATTTTTGCTTTACTACTGTATTTAAGATAAATAAAGCTTCTTCTAGGACAACAGTACAGCTCTTGTTAATTGTCTTTATATAAAAGGGAAAAAAATGCTTTATTATTTTGCCTATTACTAAGAGCCAAACATGTTAATTCATACTCTTAAATTATGTCTTAATTTAATTTATGAATTATCTACAGAGGTAATACATCATATGATTTATATTATAAAGATAATGCAAATCCAAGAATATAATACAATTTGATTTTATTTTCAAATTTATTTTTTTAAACAATTTCATTTTTCTGTGGTTTTGTGATACAGTTGAGCTGGTTGTGTGCACACATGCACACATATGCATTTGTGCATATAAAGTAAAGTATGGATAAAGGTTAGAAACAAAGAGTTATATTTTTATGCCAAAGCTGTGCTGACATAAAAAAAAGTACTGAACTAATCTCTCCCCTGTTCTCTGTCTTCCCATTTGCAAATGTACAACAGCATGCATCAACAGATCTATCAATTCAGACCTTTAAGAAGGCAAATATAAGAAGAATCATGGCCTTTATTTTAGAGGTTCATATGATTTGACATGATTTTTAGATACATTGTTACACTTTCTTCTCTTTTTATTAGTCGCAATAATGATTTACATAAGTCATTCTATTCTCAAAACAACTTTTATAATGCATTTTGTCAGAAATATGTATTTAATCCAGTTTTGAATTGCTTAAGTATAATCATGAAAGAAAACAATTTTAAAATATATTAAAACAAGTTGACACTAAATGAATATTTTAAAACTTTATATATGAAGTCCTTTATGCATAAAAATTAATATTATGAGTGTAAATAGCAGTAGAATGTGTTCATTTGTGAGTTTTACATATTGAATAAAAATTTGTTGCTTAGGTAGAACCATACAATGTCCCATAGGCATTATGATATATGACATTTCTAAACAAAATGATTCAATTATAACATAAATTTATTCTAATTTACTATTTAGAAGGAAACATTTAAATTTATTTAAAAGTTATCATTCATACATTATATTTTCTAAGTTGTCTTCAAAATAAATAATCTAGTTTGTTTGACAGTCAAGATTAGTAACTGGAAAGTAATAAATAACATTCATATGTTTTATATGCAAAATGAAAAAAATACATGTGAAATGAGCTTATTAACACTTTCCCAATCATTATAAGTCCAATGATAATCTACAGTTTTATTTCTAGAGAACTAATATTTTAGCTATGAAATTACTCAATATATTATATAACTAACTAAAGAATGAAACAAACTATCTGAAAATATTTGTAGAGATACATACCTGTACATGTGAAGAATTTAGACTCACCCACACTAAGCTCTACTTTGCTAAGTGAAATTGTCACTTGAAGAAGAGCTGAAAGAAAATATTTGAGTAAAATTAATTTTGCTTTTAAGCATGAATGCTAAAATATTAACACATCGTGTCTATATCACATGATCTAAACAGCAATTATTTATCCTCTTATGCTTTTATTACCTATAAAGAGAAATGAAAGTTTTACAAAATACAAATCTAACAAATTATATCTATTATATCATTATATACCTTACAACCAGGGTGTATTCAAAAAGACGTATTCAAGCTCTGTTGAAATTTTGAGAAAATTCACACTCAGACAACTGTTCCATATTCACAGGCTAGGCCTTATGCGTGATACCAGATTGGGCAACAGCTACAGAAAATTTTTGCTCAAAATTTGGAAACTTGCTTAAAAAGAGTACACCCTACACTACTATTACAATAATTAAAACTTTGAGTTAAGTACTTTTTGACTAATAATCCATGGGGTCCCAAAGAGTCAGACACGACTGAGCGACTGAACTGAACTGAACTGAACCTTTTCAGGAAAGTAATGGTGCTTCAAAGGAAAAAAAAAATGAAGAAAAATCTGAAAATTAGAGTACAAGTATACATTGGGAATTTGTGGATCACAGTAACTGAAAGGCTCAAAGATTGCAGAGGATGGATTCAAGCTTGCCAAGAAGAGGGGATGCTAAAGAACATCACCAAATACTGGACCAGAATAAGATTCACCCTTAGTGTTAAGAAGGGTATAGAATAAACTAGCCCACTGGCAAAAGGGAATGACAAGGATAGTTGGCTCTTCTGGCCTGTATAAAGGAAAAATGTTTCTCCTTAAAGAGGTTAACCATGGTTCTAGCATATCCTAGATTTGGAATTTTGAAACTGTAAATATATGTTCTTTGGGAAACCCCAAGCTGAAAATTAACTTATAAAGCTGTTTTACATGTAGGGCTCACAGCTACGTGACAGAAGCAAACACAAAATCCCTTCATAATTGGTCCCGACTCCACAAGATTTTCATAAATGGACCTCTATTCAACCTTAATTCAAACTATGACATTAAAAAATACATGGTGAAATAAGGTACTGTGAGCACGAATTAGTTGAAATAACCTAGAAGAGAAATATACCCATGAAATTTCAAAAAAATAAATTAGACTAGGGATGTAACTAACATACCTATGTTGACAATGTTTAAAGAAATAAAATGTGAAATCAAAAATATGAAAAAAATAAGAAAATATTTATCAACCAAAACTTGCCATACATGTTATATAAACTCTTTAAAATAATGCCTTGTATGTCCCATACTTGATTGATGAATCCTTTTTCTGGAAACCTCCCTGAGAAATAGGATGGGCTATATAGCTCTCTTCTCTCCTGTCAGTCTTGGTCCTTTTTATTAATAATTTCATCAATACCCAGAGAGTGCTTATATGATAGGGGCTCAAAAAGTGTCCTAGTAAGTCTAATATTTCAGAGAGAAATATGTTAAGAACAACAAAGAATTAGAATAGGAAGAAAATGAGAATAACCAAGGAAGTGTGTTAGTCATTCAGTCAAGTCTGACTCTTTGTGACCCCGTGAACTGTAGCTGGCCAGGTTCTTCTGTCCATGCGATTTCCCAGGCAAGAATACTAGAGTGTCATTTCCTTCTTTCAGACCCACTATTCGAACACAGGTCTCCCACATTGCAGGTGGATACTCTACCGTCTGAGCCACCAGGTAAGCCCCGAATGAAGGAACAAGAGAGTATCTATTATAAACATTGTCAATTCTGGTGAGAATTGACAGAAGAGGACTTTTTCTTTGGAGAAGTAACTAATCCCCAATGGGGACAATAGAATCAAACTGTAGACAAAGTCAAGGAATTTGAGATCAGCCTCTTAAGAAATTATATCTGTAGAGATGTGTAGAGTTTGAGGGGATCCACAATTCTGGACATGGGACTTTACAAACTGGGAAAGGTTTACTCATACTTATGAACAGAGGGACAGAGGTAGAAAAGAGGTGATATGGTTGGAAGAAAGAAGGGAATTGTGATTTTTCTCATTCTCTATTCACTAGTTATACTTTCTCCTTTAAGATATCATCTTATTTCATGACATCAATTGCCTTTTCTCTTTGGTTCTCCAGTCTATGCTTGTCCATAGTTGAATCCTACAATTTCTAATTCTCAACTACCATTCAGTTGAATAGCATATTTTAATTTCAAATTCTCCATGTTCAAAATGAACACCTAACCCTTGCATCAAAAATTGCTATTTTTGGTCATCACCAATCAATTGTAAAGTCCTGGATATATAACTTCTGAAATATTACTTGTATGCATTCTTGTTTATTTCCAACACTGTTTCCCTAATACATGCACTCACTTATTTGTAACCTGAGATATTTCTTCTAAGCTGAGAGAGTGATATATCAAATTCTGTATTTCTTTTTCTGACTTCTATATTTTCAATGTTTCTTCCCATGAGAAAATTTCTCAGGTTGCTGCAAGCATACATTTCAAAAACTGTTTAATTTCACATGCCTACTCAAAAATCTCCAAAGTGCATTTGTTTTATTCAGTTAATTAGTAATCATGTACATTTTAACGGAAAGAAAACTAACTTTCCCAAGCTTATTTCCAATTGTTCCTTAAAACTTTTTTTTATTTTTTATTTTTTCCCTTAATAGTTTTGCAGCTGTAGACAACTACAGTTAATCATCCTCCACTTCCAACTGACTCACACTTACTCACCAATGTGCTTTGTGCAAACTATTTCCTTTGCCATCTCCCTTTCTCTAATCTCCACATGGCTGGCTACATTCTATCTTCAAAATAAAACTAAAATATCAATAACTTTTCAAAATATTCTTGGATAGTTCCATTTATAACATCAACAAATAAATGTCTTTGATCCAGAGGCATGTTCACTAAACAAGTGAAATGTATATTGTTGATAATGATATTCACTTCTCTAGTATGTGTGTTAATTGCTCAGTTGTGTCTGACTCTTTGTGACCTTAAGGATTGTAGCCAGCCAGCCTCCTCTGTCCATGGAAGAATACTGGATTGGGTTGCCAGTTCCTCCTCTAGGGGATCTTCCCAACCCAGGGATCAAACCCCCATCTCCTCTGTCTCTTGCATTGCAGGCAGATTCTTTACCCACTGAGCCATCAAGGAACCCTTCTCTACTATATTTAAATGCAAATTTCTAGAAGGGAAAGCTCATCACCCTCACTTCTATTTCTCCTAAACTGATAATATATATAAACGCATGGCAGAATAATGAAAAAACATTTTACAAAACACTGACAGTATTGGCAATATAAAATTTTGGAATCACTTCACCGACTTAAATTGAGTTTAAAGATAGGCCTTTTGAGAAATGTCTGCCAATTATTACTTAAGCAATTCCCAGTTTGACCTTTGGAGTTTACAGAAAAGACAAAACTTGAAAGATGCAGCCATTTTAAAAGCCAAACACATGCAGGCATTCTAAAAGTTCTGAACAATTTTACACAGATTTGCTAATGGGTATAATAAATAACATATTCATTGCAATAAAATGAAATTAATCTTGAAATTGATTACTTAATTTATACTAAAACACTTGGTTAATTTTCACTCCACACAAACTATCAATTCATCCATTACTCAAGACCATATTTTTATGGACATTTTGGTGACTGGGCACATAGGCTATATATAATAAAAAGACAACACATAATTCTCTAGTTTAATACATATCTAATACATCTCTAGTATAATACATTTCCCAAAGGCTAGATTTACTCTAATTGACCCCCACAGATACATTAAAACATGTGCAGATTAGGAATAAACTTGAAGAACTAAAATTTAAGGTCATGCCTTAATCATTGCTCTAGAGATTTAATATCATTTTTGGTGACCATTCTTGACCGATGGTCACCTCCCCCAGAGGAAGACACATATGGTACAAAATGACCTCTCTCAGAGTCTTTGCACCTAAATGCCAGAAGAAAATGAAATAATCTTCTAATGACAATGTTGTGTTCAGAGAAAATTGGGCAGGATTGATATATTTATATCTAACCAGTTAACTTTGCCTTCATTTCTGATATTTCAATTTAGGCACTAAAAATAAATAAATAAATAGTGAGAGTGGACAGTGAAATGGGGCCTTTATGTCATTCAAATATATATATATATATATATATATATATAAAATATTTAAAATTTAAATATCTGTTTAGGGTTGGGTGGAATTTGAGTAATAAAATGGCATTCACTGATGCTGAAAAATCCAATCTTGATATTTTACTCTTATTATGTATTGGGAATAGATGTAATACCTTTGAAGAAACTGAGAAAGATATAATGTCACATAGATTGATTCACTTGACATAAGCAACATTATTGATTAAATGATAGAATTACTTAAAAACCAATCAATCAATAATAATTTTGTATTAAAATTGGTATTGGATAGTCAAAATGCCAGTATCTTCACATGAGAGTCTCATTATTTATTTATTTTTTCATTTATTTATATTAGTTGGAGGCTAATTACTTTACAATATTGTAGTGATTTTTGCCATACATTGACATGAATCAGACATGGATTTACATGTGTTCCCCATCCTGAACCCCCTCCCACCTCCTTCCCCATCCCATCCCTCTGGGTCATCCCAGTGCACCAGCCCCGAGCACTTGTCTCATGCATCCATCCTGGACTGGTGATCTGTTTCACACTTGATAATATACATGTTTCGATGCTGTTCTCTCAGATCATCCCACCCTCACCTTCTCCCATAGAGTCCAAAAGTTACCAATACAGTACACTAACACATATATATGGAATTTAGAAAGATGGTAACAATAACTCTGTGTGCAAAACAGAAAAAGAGACACAGATATATAGAGAATCTTATTTAAAGTAAGAAAACATTTTACACTCACAGCCTGAAGAATGCATTCATGATAAATATGTCTTTTTTGAACTACCCTCAAATAAAGAAATGCAGTACTATCTTAAATGTAGAATTGGGTAAACTAAAAATTATTTATCAATATCAGT